AAGGGTTGATGCTGGTGGGGGGTAGGGTGGGGAAGGCTGGGAGGAGTCGCAGTTCTCATTGGTAGCCACTGGTAAATTGCTCTTGATCAAGCAAATAATTCCCTACCCATCTGCATAGCGACAACTCTAATCAAATGCAGTTGCTTAGAAACAAAGAGGAAGGACTTGAACATGGGAGGGGGACTTGTTGGGAAGGAGGGGTTTGGTGGCAAGGAGAGGGCAATCAGAGAGGCTAATGAAGGAGGGATATGATCAAAGTATATGATATATGTATATGTAGAAATGTGTTTATATGCATGTATAAAATAAAATAACTAAAGAATAAAAAACTGAATTGAAGGAGTGAATTGTGCAGAAATCTAGGTAAGAAGCTTTCCAAGCAAAGCAAAGACTAAGCAGGAAAGGGTAGGGTAGGCCAAGGAAACTGAAACAGAGTAAGCAAGCATGGAAGACAGACGAGGCCAGGGAAGTTGGGTTGTTCAGAACTCGGCTAGCCATCTTTGAAACTTCTGTTTTCATTTCAAGAGTCAGGAAGCCTGTGGGATACCGGAGAGGGAAGTCACGCGATAACCAAGGTAACGCCAAATAAGGAATGTCAGAAGGACATGGATTTTCTCTGGGTATGAAAAGCATGCAGAGAAGCCTGAGCATTGATTGTACCTCCTGTGTAATCACCCGCTTCTCTCCTCTGGTATGCTGAGAACCTTTTACAGCATGCACACCTCCCGCCCTGTCACTAAATCACAGACCTGGGCTCTGCTTCTCCCAGACTGTGTTTAAAACTTGATTATAAGACGTTAGACGGTAAGATGGCTGTAATAACATCCTAGCACCATTAACCATCAAAGCAGAGGATAATCACTATCCCCTCTTGGCGTATGCTGTATCATTTTCTGCAAAATATCCATTTACTGCTTGCTGCTTTAGGAACCTAAATGTATTGGATTTTGGAAGTCATCATCAAGATGCTATTTTTGGAGTTTGCATATCCTATGCTCCGTGACTGGCAAAGAAACCAGGCATTAAATTCCATTTTGCAAAATATTTTGAGGTATACTTGACTATGCTGACTATGGTAATTTCTGTCTTATTTTCTGTCATATGTGATAAAAGGGACACAAACAGTACTGGTGTGTATACATAAGGCACCGACCCTTATGATTGTCTGTTTAAATAGCAGCTGTGTAGTTCCGACTGTCGTGGAATATGTGTGACATTGCAGCCAGTGGTGTGGCAGATCAGGTGTTTATGAATGCATGTGGAAGACAGGAAGAGGATTCAGAATGGAAGCAGGTTTTCCACATAGGTGCTGGAAAAAGCAGCTCCAAACTCAGAAATTTCTGCATTTTCTTTATTTATTTTTATCTAGCTTCAACTGTTCTTTCTGGAAAACGACAAAGAGAAAATGCAATCCATGCACACAGAATTATTTTTAAAATAATAAGTTTTAGGTGTTTAGCCATTTAATACAATTAGAACTCCAAAGTATAGAGCCTAGGGTAAAAATAGGAGATTTTCTTCTCTTCATTTTTCTCCCGTCACAGATTTGAGAAATAGCACCATTATTTCCCTCATTACAAGAAGCACTCTAGAATGACTGGGTTGGAGAGATGGCTCAGCCATTAAAGGCTAGACTCACAACCAAAAATAAAAGAACTAATAAATAATTAATAAAAATGTTACTTTCTTTGTTGATTCTTAGTTTAATTTATATATGTATCTTTAAATTTTGATATACTTTGATCTGTTAGATATATTTAAAATTTGATATAAACAACAGGCACAGCGATATATCCACAGGTAACATTGTCTTCCATTCTTTGCTTTCCTCCTGTTGCTTGTTGGAAGACCACGTCTGGCAGAGAAGCTCCAAGAACAAAGGAGTGCCGACAGTGAGTCTCACTTCTCTCTTCAGTAGCCACCTGGCTCTCCCGAACACAAAGCATCTTAGCAGGCCTTGGGATGTCTGTGCTGAGAATAGTCAAAATAACTGGTAGGAAAACGGAAATGCACTTGTGGTCTTGTCATTTTGGTAACCATGGCGATGAAGACCTGCCGAGCATTTTAGTGACCCTGCTCAGGAACTTGGGAGAGGTCTTATTTGTTGTAAAGCTTGACTCCTATCATGACGCTGCACTTGGAGTATCGACGCTTCGCTGCTGAGCACAGATACCTTACCAGATTGGCTATTTGCTTTTTTCACCTTATTTTACTAGAAGTATAAGCAGTTACCTGAAACATAGGCAAAAATTTTAAGAGAGTACAGCAGTTAAAAATGAGCACTTAAAAAATGTTGGAAAAGAAGGACTGAAATACACTGACGTAAGTGTACAGCATTAAAGCAAATTTCTGAACTTCTTGGTAATCAAATATAAATATAAAATTATTCTTTAGTCTGAAATTATATAGAAACTTGAGAATAGTATTTTGAAAATAGAATTGATGAAATTATCTCATTTTTATAAAGTTTTTTTCTTTTGTGAAAAATGTGCAGTTTGTTTCCTAATGAGAGATAGAAAGGGTATGGATTCAGTTAAGAGTCTTGTTTTCCTGATTTCTTTCTCAGTGCATTTTTATTTGTATATAGGAAGGCTACTAGTTTTTTTTTGTTTGTTTTTGAGTTAATCTTGTATCCAGACACTTCGCTGTAGGTGTTTATTCGCTGTAGAATTTCCCTGTAGAATTTATTTAATTGCTTATGTATGCTATCATATCAACTGCAAATAAAGGTACTTCCTCTCCAATTTGTATCCCCTGATTGCCTTCAGTTGTCTTATCGTTTTTGTTAAGTAAGATCTTAAGTGCCATATTGAATAGATCTGGAGAGACTGTATAGCCTTGTCTTATTCTCAATTTTAGGGGAATTGCTTTGAGTTTTCCTCGATTTAATTTGATTTTGGCTATGGGCTTGCTCTGTATTACCTTTATTATGTTTAGGTATATTCTTCATATTTCTGATCTCTCCAAGACCTTTATCATGAAGTGGTGTTGGATTTTGTCAAAAACTTTTCAGGATCTAATGAGATGACCATGTGCTTATTATCTTTCAATTTGTTGTATGGTGGATTAGATTGACAGATTTTTTTGTATTTTGAACCATCTCTGCATCTGTGGGATGAAGACTACTTGATCATGATATTTTTGATATATTCTTGTATTTGGTTTGCAAGTATTTTATTGAGTATTCTTTTCATCGATGTTCATGAGATTGATCCGTAATCCTCTTTCTTCGTTAGGTCTTTTGTTTTTGCTGGTGTGAGTTTATTTATTGCTAGTGTTTTCATGAGCATAGTTAAACTTCTTGGGTTGGGTTTTTCTTCTATGACCTTCTGTAGGGCTGTATTTCTGGATAAATATCGCTTAAATTTGTCTTTGTCCTGGAATTTCTTGTTTTCTCTTTGGTGACTGAAAGTTTTGTTGGGTAGTGAAGTCTGGGCTAAAATCTGTGGTGTCAGAATCTGCAGGACATCTGTCCAGGTTCTTTTGGCTTTTAGAGTCTCCCTTGAGAAACAGGGTATAATTTTAATAGCTCTACTTTCATAAGTTACTGCTCTTTTTCCATTATAGCTTTTAGTATTCTTTCTTTGTTCTGAATATTTAGTGTTTTGATTACTATGTGGCACGGGGACTTCCTTTTCTAGGTCCAATCTATTTGGTGTTCTGTAAGTTTGTATGTTTATAGGCATAGGCATCTCCTTTAGGAGAGGAAAATTTTCTTCTGTGCTTTTCCTGAAAATATTTTCTGGGCCTTCGAGCTGGGATTCTTCTTCTTTTATTCTTATTATTCTTAGGTTTGGAATTTGCAGAAGGTCTCAGATTTCCTGGATGTTTCGTGTCATGAACTTTTTAGATTTAACGTTTTCTTTGACTAATGTTTCATTTTTTCCTTCATATCTTCAATGCCTGATATTGTCTCTTCAGTCTCTTGTATTTTTTGGTGATGCTTGCATCTGTGGTTCAGGTTTGCATACGTATATTTTTCATTCCCAGAATTACCTCAGTTTGTGTTTTCATTATTGTTTCTATGTCCATTTTCAGATCATGAGCATTTTTATTCATTTTGTTTTTTCTTGGCTTTCTTTAATGGATTTTGTCATTTCCTCTAATTATTTCCCAAATTTCCTTAAGGAATATATTCATTTCCTCCTTAAGGACCTCAATCAACTTTATAAAGTTGGTTTTAAGCTCTTTTTTTTTATTGTGCTTCTGTTGTGTTGGAATATTCTGGGTTTGTTTTAGTATGTTAGCTAGGTTCTGGTAGTGACATATTGCCCTGACTGTTGTTTCTTTTGTTCTTATGGCAGCTTTTAGACACTTGTGTTTGGGTGGTTAATGGTCTGGGTATCTACTTCTGAGCTTGTCTTTGGTGCATGGGTGTTCCTTCACTTCATTTCTCTTTCCTCTCTGGTCTTCTGGTCTGTGTGGCTGGGGTTTCTCCCAGTCTGTGTGGTCTCTGGGAGAGCAGGGAATCCTTGCCCTAGTTGGAGGCTGGGGAAAGGCAACTAGGAAGTGCAGGCCTGTAATAGGGTGAAATAGTGAAAGAGTGAGGCGGTTTGGTGGGCAAGTAGCCTACTTGGACTTCCCCTAGTCTGCTTGATCTGATAGAGTAGGGAGTCTCTGCCCCAGTAGGCGTCTGGGGCAAGGCAAGGAGAAGTCCTTGGGACTAGGTGAGGGGTGGGACACTGATGTAGTGAGAGAGTGGGCAAATTTGGGTGGCAGACAGGCTACCTGGACTTTCTCCTAGTCTGCTTGGTCTCTGGTAAAGTCTGGGAGTCTATGCCCTCTCCATTTTTATTAGTAACATTTTATAGAAAATAGCATCGATTTTGATAGACAAATATATACTTTTCCTATAGGTTTCTGGTTGTATTAAATATTTCTAATACTAATATAGGATGAGAGTTTGAAAACAGTAAGTACGTATCAATCTTATTTCTTTATTCAAAATTCCTTATTTGGACTTTTCTTTGTGTGTGGTGTGTGTGTGTGTGTGTGTGTGTGTGTGTGTGTGTGTGTATATACTGGCGTGTATAAGTGAATTATGACTTTTTACATTAGTATTTCAGGTCAATTTTCACCAAACAAGAACTCAGGTTGTCCTTCATTAAGGACTCAAAGCATTGTGGGCTTTGAGAATGTTAGTTAAGTAGTCACTAAAATATTTGTTCTTTCAGTCTCCCTGGTGTCTTCAAGTTAACCTTTCTATTTAAACAACTGTAGCTTTTCACACATGAGAGATTTGCAAACATATTATCCCAGCCTGTGTCTTGATTTTTCTTTTTCTCTTAAAAAAATAAGAACACTTTCATTGTGTTCTGGTTATTAATTTTATGGCAACTTGAATGAGTTAAGAGATACCCAGGTAGTCTCTAAAACACTGTTCAGGCATATGCCCAGCACCATATTTCCAGGAGAGATTACATCTGTATACATGTATGAAGATGTTCCCACTGCAATGTGGTGAGCACCTTCCATCCATTCAGTTTGGATCTAATAAAAAGGCAGAATGGGAGAGAACTACTCTTTCTTTTTTATTATGGCCATCTCTTTCTGTCTTGGACACATAAACTTGTGGTTCTTGGGTCTTAGGACTGAGACAGAGCAATGCAGTTGTGGTATAGGCTTCCTGGTATTTCAGCCTTTAAGCTTGGGCTGGATAATATTACCGTCTTCCCAGGCACTTCAGTTTATAGGTAGCACCCATGGGTATCTCACGGATAAGAACAGGGACTAGAAACTGACTAGGCAGTGTTAGAAGACCCCAAAGGTAAAGAGTTCTTACTTGGCCAAAAACTGGATATCTGGATATTTCCCTAGCCCAGTTGCCAGTTCAGTCCTTGCGGAAGTCTGTTCTGTTGTTGTTGTTGTTATTTCTTGTCCCTAAATGAACACCCCTCCTTGGAACCTATGATACAGGTCCTGCCTTAGTCCATGAGGGATCACCTGGACCAACCTACTCATCTGTCTCCTGTGTCTCACCTGTTTGTTAAAACGGCAACATGAAATAGTACTCTTTTCTTTCTTCTGTTGTCGAATATTTTCACATATAAAAGCTAGTCTATTCTGAATGTCAGTGACTTATAGAACAAGAACTATATTTTTAAAGTTAGTCCTTTGTAGTTCCCTTTCAAGACTGAACTTACAGCGAGAAGAAAATAGTGTTGTTGGCGTTAGCGTTGTGCGGTAAAACAGAGCTCACGCTGAGCTCACTACTCAAGGCACAGTACCCTACATTTGTGTTTAACTGCCTTCTCCCTTTCGGTAGTAGCAATTTGGAAAGAGGCATCACCAGCCAAATACCCTTTTCTCTCACTTTAAAAGAAACAAACAGGAACCACCCTTGGACTAGAAATAGAAGCACACATCTACATTGCAAAACATGCCCTGAAGGGGCATCTTTTGGTGCCCTTAGCAAATGCTTGTTTTGAATGCCAAAAGTAACATCAAAGGTAATTTTCAAGTTCGTATATTTAGCCCATTTAACTGCCCGCTACCCCTGTTTCTGCTTAGAGTCATTTATGCCCTAATCTTCCATGTTATTGGCACCTGCTTCTTGGGCTATCTCTCTTCCACACAATTAGTATTCATTATCGTCTATACTGCTCTCTGTAATATTCTTACCGCAAGTCAATGTGGGAGAGATAAAGTGTGTTTGTGTCAAAAACGCTAGTAAGTACTGAGGGTGTTAAGCCTGATTTTCTTCACCTGTGAGAAGAGGCATTAGATCACAACTGAGCCATATTCTGATTCTAAGGACCAAGACTGATCTTAGGCAGGAAGAAACAGAACTTTAATCTCTTTCATGGGACCTGCTACCCTGTGTCCAGTCTGTTGTGAATCTTGTTGGCTCTCTGACCCAAGGCCTACCTGGTTTGCTTGTATGTATCATATCCCCAGAACTGATGTCTGCCTTGTGTGCATAGCTCTCCTGTGTGCTGGGGAGTGGAAGTCTGAGCAGCTGTCTGAGGACATTATTGTCTTCCAGGGACTCTTGATCTCTGAGAAACTTTTGTCCTGTGACTTAATTTACTATCTTGACCTTCACTTTTTATATTCAAGTGCTTACACAACTGTTCTGTTAGTAGTTATTGGTCACTGGTTAGTATATCTACATGTGGGGAGTAGCCACACCCCTTCCTCCTGCCTTTCCCCAAGGGTTAAGCTCCAGATCTGGTCCATTCACCTTCCCAACTCATGGTTCAAAGTTCCTTTTGCAGTGGGCTCTGGAGGAGGATTCTGTTCAGAAGACATGCTGTTTTCATTATTATCTGTAAAAATGACCCATATTTTTGCCTGTTATCTACTCCAATGGGGCATACATTTTTATTTATCTATTTTTACAGTTGTGCTATTGAAATCAGTACAGCCCCTAAACTGGTCTTTCTCGTCAAAGACATTGTGGAATATTGTTGAATTTTGTTTACATATTTTAATTTTGTTAGAGAAAGCTTGGCATAATTGTAGTGCTAATAGTTCTTGAAATGTAGATTGACTATGGTATGTACACTTAAGATCTAATCTGGTTTTCTCTAGCACTGGAGCCCAGAAAAATCTCATTTTGTTTTGTCTAATTCTCATAGCTTTGATCATGTAAAGTCAGAAATTATATGATGATTTTCTTCTGTGGGAAGTTAGAAAAACAAACAAATAAATGAAATAGAAATATTAAAGTTAAATTGGAATATGATCATAGGGAGAGGATAACTTAGGATAATTCCTTAGAACATGAAGAAGTTAACAACAAAATAATCGAACAAGCTCCAAACCTGCATATTCATGTCTGATCTTGAAACTCTCTTCAGATCTCCAACTCTGTTGAGCTTGGCTGACTGCAGTCCACTTCTTTCTCTTGAGCTGCTTCCACTCTCCTGTAGCAGCTCTCTTTGACAGGTACCCCGTGGCTCTAGCATCTCCAACATCTTTTGTTTTCCAAGGCAATCCAGGTTCAACTTTACAACTTCATGCAATGGCCTTTCTAGGCCTCCAATCAGGAACACCCCTGTCATGCCTGGCTTCAGCAGCTTTTTCCCATAACTTCTCTCTCTCTCTCTCTCTCTCTCTCTCTCTCTCTCTCTCTCTCTCTCTCCATGTCTCCCTCTCCATCTCTCTCTCCCTCCCTCATTCCCCCTTTCTTTCTTTCTCTTCCTAAGTTTGGCTGTCCTGAAACTTGCTCTGTAGACCAGGTAGTCCTCAAAATCAGAGATCTGCCCCCTCTGCCTCCGGAGTACAGAGATTAAAGGTGTGCATCACTACCACTTGCTTTAAGCTTTCTTTAATTCCTTTTTGCAAATTGAAAACTTAGTTGGATAAGATCTTGTCTTGTGATCACCACTCCCTTTATTCCGTTTCTTAATCTGATTATCTTCTCAAACACAGAAGAGAGAGGAAGAGAGAGGGAGGCAGGGAGGGAGGGAGGGAGAGAGGAAGAAAGGGAGGGAGGAACAGAGAAAGAGATAGGTAGATAGATAGATGGATAGATAGATAGATAGATAGAGAGATGTTAGAGACTAACACAAAAGCAAATAGCATTTAATTGTGTTTAAACCCTAATCAAGGTTACAGAGAAAGAAAGTTTGTATCACAGTGGAACTCGATGCTGGTAGACTCTCTGGCCACTGTTTCTTTTATATGCTTCCTGATGAAGCCTCTGGATGAAAGCTTGTTAGTCACAGAACAAGAACTGGATATCATAGGAAAACTGACAGTTGTCAGATGGAGAAAGATAGGAGTTTGAAGGGGGTTGATACTATGATTCAGTGGGCATGAGGTCTTGCTGCCAGGCCTCATTACTGGAGTTCTATTCTGGCACCCAGGTGATAGAGAGAACCAACTGGAAGTACTTTGATTCATTAGGTAAAGGACTGTAGAAACCAGATTGTAACCCATCTGAAGTAGCACTTAAAAACCAGACTCTAACATGTTAGCTCAGATGCTCACCGACTCTGTTATTCATTTAATTGTAAGCTCTAAACATGGAAGTACATATGTCTATCAAGAAGGAACAAAAAAGGAAGGCTTTATAAAAGTTACAAACTTCTGAGAGAGTTAGAATTTTCTTTTTCTGTTTTCCCCTAGGTAGTACTTATAGTGAATAGCAAAAAAGTAAAAGAGGATTAAAATACAGTTTTAAGTGGTAAGAAAACATTTTCTAAGACTGATCAGTTCTCTAATTTTGAGTGCTTTGTGATGAAGTACTGTAAATATCTTATTTGTAGTTTATTGATTGGGAGATTTAACAGGGTTCACATTCCTAATCCTGTGAATATGATTATCTTACAGTGACAGTGAGATGAGTCTGTGTTGATGGAGGTTTCTGTCTCACGTGGTCCCACAGCCATTCAATCTCAATGAAGCACACAGAGGCCCACATTAATTATAAACTGGTTGGCCTATTAGCTCAGGCTTCTTGTTAAGTAACTCTTACATCTTAAATTAACATAATTCTTGTCTGTGTTACTTATGTGGCTCTGTACCTTAAGTCAGTGAGGCATTCTCATCTTGCTTCCTCTGTGTCTGGGTGACAACTGCAGACTGAATTCTCCAGAATTCTCCTGTTCTGGTTGCCCCACCTATACTTCCTGCCTGGCTACTGACCAATCAGTGTTTTATTAAACCATTACAAGTGACAAATCTTTACAGGGTACAGGACCATTGTCCCACAGTAGGTCTGTCCTGGTTTGAGTCTTTGTTGCTGTGACCTGGGGAGGAAAGGGCTTATGTGACTTACACTTCCAGGTAACAGTCCACTACTGAGGAGCTCAATCAAGAACCTGGACACAGGGACTGAAGCAGAACCATAGAGGAAGGTGCTTATATGAATTGCTTTCTTATATAACCCAGGATCACTTCCCCAGGTATGGCATCACCTGCAGTGGACTGAGGCCTTCCTTTTCAATTATTAATCAGTAATATGCTCCCACAACCATGCTCACAGGCTAATGTGAGGAAGGCAATTCCTTAATTGAGGCTTTCTCTTCACATGTGACTTGAGTTTATGTCAAGTAGACATAAACTAGTATGGGATAATTATATAATTCCTAAAATTCTTCCCATTGTGTTCTTAAGAAACTAAAACAGAATTGAAGGCCCTCAGCTTTACACATCACATTTTTCATTATGTCAGTATATTTGGTTTGACTAAAATCTGTATAGACACGTACTTGCTTGGGATTACAAGGACCAAGAGAAATATTGTTAAGTGTTCTGGAACTAGATGTTGGTAGTCACAATTATATTGGCGTACATCAGTGATCTGGTGCCTCTGGATTTTTTCTCAATTTTAAGATGTAAAAGAAGTAAAGAAAAACATTCTCAACACATTAAAAATCAGGAACAGTGGACATTTCATAGCGAGATCTTAGATTCATGGGAGTTAGTTATCACAGTGGTATAATTTAACCTATTTTTATTTTTTTTCCAAAATTTCCTCAGTCAATAGTGTTTTCTATCCTGGGATGGTTCTTTTTAGAAATAATTCATTTCACCACAATGGTTCCCTTATTCTTTAAAATAATCACTATATGACTTAAAACAAGAATCCAGGAAAAGACAAGCCATTAAAATGACAGTTATGAGTAAAGATGCTTGCATTAAATTAGAATCTTGCCAACATAAAAAAATATCTGCCCCAAATTAAAGACTCCATATGCCTTCCCAGTCTGGTTCTGTCTGAGGTGAGACTCACTGTGTGGTCACAGCTGCAGTGCTCTTATCTTTGCTTCAGGATTATTTCCTCACGCATATTTAGAAATTTGTGATCATCTTATTTTTAAGACACAGAATGTAGGGCTGGAATTGAGATAAAATCATAATGTGTTCCTTAGGATCTTTATCTGTGTCAAATGGACTATCAGAATGAAGACCAACAGAACAATACACATTGTGGAATGTAATTGGGGTAGTGCTCTGTTTGTAATTTGAGGTAAAATTTGTCCATGTACCAAATTGTGACATCATAGTCTTATGTTGTGACATCTCAACTCTGAATTATGACAAAATAATATTCCATTGTGACATCACAGTGTACCATTATATCACCACCATACTGAATCATTGCATTAAAATGCACATTCTAAAATCAATTTTGACATTGTAATATTCCATTGTGACAAAATAGCACTTCATAATGACATCACCTTCTTGCATTTTGATATCATAGCTCTCTACTATGATATCATAATGCCACAGTGTGGTACCCAATACTCCATTTGTGTGTTACAATGCTCCCCTGATAGGCCACAAACTCCATTGTGTCATCACAGTGCTTGATGTTGTCATGACATCCTTGACACCATCACCGTGGTCTATTGTGATGTGAAAGTACTGCATTATGACATCACAAAGGTGTGTGTCTATACGTCACAGCGTTTGAGTGTGACGTAAGACACCACTGCCATCACAGTATTGCATTGTGCGACCCCACCCCGTACCATGTCATCACAGTATATAATGGTTCTATATTGTGACCATGAACTGCTCCAGTTGGGACACATCAATGCTCCATAGTGATAACACAATGCCACCTTGGGACCTCATGACGCTGAGTCATGTAACACAATGTTTCATTGCCACACCGCAAATGGCTTGAGACTCACAACACTGCCCTGATGAGACAAAACACTTCATTCTTACATCACAGTGCACCATTCTGTATCCAAACGTCCCACCTAACAAGAGCACACAGCAATAGGCTAAGCTAGGTGCTCTTCAGCATCTGACCCAATCCACTCTGTAGAGCAGCAACGAGGACAGACAGCAGTCCTGAGAGTGAATATGTGAGCTGCTGACAGCATCATCCTTCAGTTAGTGTGGAGGTCCTCTGGCTACCCTAAAGCATTTTCATATCAGTGTTTGAAATCTAAGGTAAATAAATAAGGTAGAATGATTTCGTTAGAAGGCTCTTCCATTCTGAACACCTGGAGCACTAGTTCTTTCATGGGTCTCTGGTAAATAACTTGTGGAAATTAGCTGGATTTGTTATTTGTTTATTTGAAAATTATATATGTATACTTCATGTTTCCTATATATGTATATATCTACATATACATATATACACACACACATATTCTGATTATGGTTTTCCCTGCCTCTACTCTTCCCAGATCCTCCCCACCTTCCATCTCATTTGAATCCACCCCCTTTCTGTCTCTCATAAGAAAACAAATAGGCATGGAAAGAATGATAATAAAATAAAATAGAATAGAGTAAGATAAAAAAGAAATAAGCCAGGATAGGACCAAACAAATAAACAAACAAAAGAGCTCAAGAAAAGGAGCAAGAAACAGCTATAGACCCAGAGGACCATCCATTCACACATTCAGACATCTCACAAAACCACTAAACTGGAAGCCATATGTATGCAAAGCAACTGTGGGGTAAAATTTAAAACATGAGCGTGGTGGTAGCGCACGCCTTTAATCCCAGCACTCGGGAGGCAGAGGCAGGCGGATCTCTGGGAGTTCAAGGCTAGCCTGGTCCTCCAGGGCCAGCTCTACTGTGTTGCCCAGGTGAGGTGAAGGGCCCACTCTCCTATGTGCTGAACTTGGTGAGGGGCAGTAAGGCCAGTTCTCCCGTTCACCTGACCTTAGCACCAGCTCTTCTGCACTGCAAAAGGCAGTGAGGGGGCGGGAAGGGAGGGCGTCCCTCCCTTGCCCATACCACCACATGTCAGATGAGGGGCAGAACCAGACCACCCTCGTCCAGCTCACCTGCGTCCCACATCTACAGGGTCAGCTCTACTGTGCTGCCCAGGTAAGGTGTAGGGTATGCTCTTCCTAGTACTGCTGCCTGTGAGGGGCAGGACCAATTCTCCCTGGTGTTGCATCCAGTAAGGGGCTGGGCCAGCTCGGTGCAGCCCTATTCTACAGCTTTTGGTGATAACAGGAGACAGGGCTGCAGCAGGACCATGGGATCAAGACGTGAGCCTTGGCAGTAACCCAGACCTGGATATCACCATGGCTCCAGGAAAAAGCAAATAACCCACCTTAGCTGTCTCCTCACTGCCTTCACCTTTTCAGATCTGACTCTTGCCACACAACACGAACCACTGTTTCTCTTGCTTTCTCTCACAGGCAGTTGGACCTCTGTGAGTTCAAGATCACCCTGGACTAAACAAGATCAATGCGTGGACAGATCCAGGTAGTGGTGACTCACGCCTTTAATCCCATTACTAGGGAGTCACATGCCTTTTATCCCAGTACAAGAGAGGGATGAGACAGAAACTCGGGTTCTTTTAGTCTGAGGATTTCTTAGAGGTAAATGCTCTCTAGTGGCTTAGCTGCTTTGCTTTTCTGATCTTCAGGTTGAATATCTGTCTCTGGGTTTTTATTATTTGTGCTATGTACTGTAGTAGGGTTGAGCACTCTAGTGGAGACATATTGTTCCAACTGTTATTAGTTGTGTTTTGATGCTGGTGTCTAGGAATCTGTGTATGGGATCATTGTACTTTTAGGTGTTGCTGTCTGGTCTTGTCATTGTTTGGTAGGTGTTTTGTCTCTTGATTTTGATTGTCCTCTCTAGTTTTTAAGAGAGTGCAGTGCCTATATGTTTCCTGGTACGGAGGGCTCTGACTCATGCCAGGTGTGGCCACTGGGGGTTCCAGAAAGAATATATTTCTTGGTGTCAGGAGCAGACACCAAGGTGGAGATGGGGCTAGAGGCCAGAGGTGAGGGGTCCACAGATGAGGGAAACAGGGTTTGCTATTAGGATCTGCTTAGTCCTGGGAATGAGGGCAGAGTGAGGAGAGGCCCCAGGAGGCTGTCTGATGCATAGGTGGGTATGAGGGGGATGGGTTGATGGGGAGGAATGGAGGGAAAGTGGCTTTCAGAATCCCAAGTACCCGCTTCACTGGTCCACTTGCTTCTCTACCAGGCTCGCCCAAAATGTTCCCAGGGGATGCCTGCTGGAGCTGGAGGTTGGGACAATGGGATGAGTGGGGAGAGAAGTGTGTGTGGGGGGGAGATCTCCCTGCTCTGTTGGGGATGAGGGAGCCCAGCAGGTGGTCTGCTATGGAGATTGGACCAGGGAACTGGATTTGGAGGAGAGGAGAACAAGGTGATAGACGGGGCAAGAGGTTGGAGGAAATAATCTTCTTGCATTTGTTTTTTTATTTCTGACTTAAAAGCCTTTATAAAGGAGTTTTTTGAAATTTACACAAAACAGAAAAGAATTGATAGAGAAAAGCCCAAATGTTCACATACCTTTATTAAATTTGGTTTTTGTGTAGTTTAGGTCTTTTTCTAATAATGTATATCTCTTAGACTTTTTCCTCTCTGCACTAAATCATAAGCAAATTTCAGTTTTGTAAGCTCAGCATTTGCATTAGAAACTCGCTGCAAGCTTATGTCTTGCTATCCTGACCCTTCTTTAGGTGTTCAAGAATTACAGTCTCTGATTTTGGACCTTTCATTCTGTACTAAATCTTGGGTGGTCATGATGGGAAAAAGATCTCAACTCCACTAAGAAAATCCTTCCTCACAGAGCAATATTTATCATCTCACGAGCTGGAACTCTTGCATAAGTAAACCTTGGGGCTGTGTGGAGGCCCACAGAAATGGGTCTGCTCCACCTTGACCGAATATGTGGGGCCCCACAGAAGGGGGTCTGCTCTGCTTTAGCTGAAGGGCAGAGAGTTGAGCCTCTCTTGCTCAAGGTTATGGGTGAGTTCTGACTTAAGGTGTGGCTGCAAACAGGAGGTCTTGACCTAGGATGGGGTTAGTTGGTGTTTTGGGTATTAAGATGGCCCACAGAGGTGGATCTGTTTCACCCTGACTCGAGGCCAGAGAACTCAAGCCTATTGCTGCTCCTTCAAGGACATGACGGGAGGTTTGACCCAAGGAGTGACTGCCTGCAGAATACTTTGTCTAAGCGTGGCAGCTGTATGTCCTGCCTAAACAACAGAATGCTTAACTTAGGATATAGTGGCTTGATGTTTCAAGTATTGAAACAAGTACTGCTCTGTTTGATTTTTGTGTGTGTTAAAGCAGTCTTTTGCCTTCTTCCCCCCCTTTAGGATTGGGGTGTATAAGGCTATGGAAAAACAAACACAGGCATATTCAGTATTCACTGGAAGGCCCTCCCAGTTCTATTCTATGTCTCTGTATTTCTTTCATGTCCATGTTTTTCCTACCTAATTTTTCTAATTCACATGCCCCTACCCTGGAACATGTGAAAGCCGGTGAGGCTGGACCCGGACAGGGCTGTCCAGAGGGAAGGTGGTGAGGTGAATGGGAATCTGAGCTCAGGTGTTTTGTGCTCACATCTCCACCCTCCACCACAGTTAGTACCAGACGGCATCTGAAGGGTGAACCGACCTTCTCTTGAAGCTTTTGCTCACTTAAAGCCTCGAAGTCTTATTGGTCTTCCTTGCTGTTTCTGGGAAAGATTAGCACTTCTTTTATTTTTGTTCTTGTTAAATCCACTAAGACACTTAAATATGAAGAATATAGAGAACACGAGACATTTCACTTTACAAAGGACAGATTGAAGAATTTATTAAATTAGATATTTTCAAGTAGCTGCATAAATTTGTTTGTATCTTGGCTGGAAATCGTGCTCTTGCCATGTTCTGTCTTTTTTGGGAAAATAAGCATATTTTGACCCAGAATATGAGAATAATCTTTCAGGCTGTTTAACACTTTTTGCTCAAATCACAGAGTTGCTTACTCTGCTGTTTCCTAAAAATGCATCTCAGTTTCTATTAATATTTCCCCAGACACGTCTAATTGAACATAGTTATGTTCAGGCACCAGAACTATATCAGAAACCTGTGCACATGCTCACACACTTAGACATATGTGCACTTGACAATAATTTACTGCCTGCAGGTTTGATCTACTGATGGGAAATAAAAAAAAATCACCTTTTTATTTGTCATTCTTCAAGTTAGTAAAATGCCAGGTCTTTGTTTTAATGTTCTACCTTCTGTGTTGAAATGGGTATTTCCTAGTTGTATACTCGTTATTATTGTTGATTTGTAATTGACGTTTGCCTTCATTTTTGAAGATATTTTCCCTGGTAGAACTGCAGGTTGGTAGATTTTTTTTTTGTATGTGACTTCCATTTGTTTATGTGTTTGCCTTTATTTAAAGTGCTTTAGAGAGATTCTTTTGTAAACCTGCTTAAGTTTCACTACCGCAGGACTTTTTTTGCACTGACTATGATACACTATTTTTTGGATATAATCTCTTCTTAAATTATATTTGGCATAATATGTCTGTAAATAGTTTTGCTTCCCTCACCTTCTTTATATTTCCAATCTTTACTTGTGCTAGGTACTATAACATTTCCCACCTTTTAACTTAATATTTTCTTTTCCTGCACTATGGCTTGGCTTTCTAATTTTGATCAGCTATCAGTTTTACTGTCTATTGCTTTTGTCTATTATGAAATTTAAATTTTAAGATATTACATTTTGGTTTCCAAATTTTCATCTGGGTCTATTTATTAATAAAGAATTATTTAATATGTATCAGTGTTTTGCCTGTGTGTACACATAGGGGTCTGATGTCTGCAGAAGTGAGAAGAAGCATCCAGGTCCTTTGAACTGGAATTATGGATGGTGTGAGCTACCTTGTGGTTACTAAAACAGAACTCGGTTCCTCTGCAAAAGCAAATGCTCTCAACCATTGAGCTATTTTTCCAGCATCATTCTTTTAGTTTTTATTTCTGCACTACACTATAATATATTAATTTTCCCTATCTTTTGTGACCATGCATTTATTTGTTTCTAACAAGTTTAAAAGTGGATGCTCTACAGTGCGTACTTGCTTACCCTCAGAGGTCTTTCTAGCCACTCTTTTAAAATAAGAACACAAGTCATACTCTTCACATCTCATAATTTTGACTAAATTATTGACACTGACTCTGCATTTTGGTTTTCGGATTTTCTTGTTTAGTGTACATAGTGTTTTAGTATTCAGTTACACAAATCTGTGGAGTTATAGTTAAATACTTTGTATAGTCAGACACATTTAAGCATTGCTACAAGGCAAGGAAGAATATATATTCCCAGTACTTAGCCTTGATTAAAAGGTATGGCTTGTCACCCGAGGCCAGGTGGCTTTCTGAGGGTCATGCTGCAGCTGGGGCTGTACAGATCTGTATGACCTATGCTGCCACAAGGTGTCATTGTGATGTCCCAGCCAGGCTACTGCCTAGGACTATGTCTGGTTACAATGGCCAGAGTCCGAGTTAATGTCTGTGGATCCTGTTACCACTGAGGGCTAGTCAGGTGCCCAGGGTCTCACCAGTCACCTGAGATTATGTTGGTGTCTGAAGGCCTTTTTTTCACCAGGGCCGTACTAATCTGGGTGACTTGTGCTGCACCGGGGCCATGGTGATGTCCAGACCCAAGATACTGCCAAAGGCCATGTTGGGTCTGTGGGTCTCACTGCAGCTGGAGTCCGTGTTGACGTTCAGGGCCTGTGTTACCACAGGGAGCCATAGGAACCATGCGTGTTGAAATCTAAGGGCCATGCAAAGATGACCCAGCCCTCACTGGCCCTAGAAAGCTGGCCTAGCTTCCCACTGGCCCCACCTCTTATGGAAGAACTGTTCTCTGCACTCAGGAAAGATGGTTCTCACCACTCATCATGGGTATAGGAGAGCTGGCACAGAGGGCATAGGCCTAGGAGAGCTCAAGACTTAAAGATGGTACCATACTAGAGCATCTTCATCTGCATCAAACCTTGGCTTCTTCCCGTTTGTCTATATCCCCCAGTCACGATGGGGTCTGCTACTTCCAGTACATATAACAAGCAAGTGTGAGCATGTGTGTATGGAACCTCACAGTGTTTGAATTTGAAGGGCTTGTTCTGCTTTCAGTTCATCTCAGTAAGTCTGCATGCATTCACCAATCATGCTAGCCCAAATAAAGCATGGGTTACAGTTCATGTATTTCTTCTGTAAGACTAAAGTTATTTAAAGGCTAAAATATTCTCATTCTATGTTCCATCTAGAAATAAAAATAATTTCTCTTCATTTTAAAGAGCATTCTTTCTGGATATAGAAATACAGTTTCGCAGTTATTTTTGCTTAACATTTTAAAGAAATGGTCTGTCCTCTTTAGATCTCTAGACTCTGTGAACAGTCAGTTGCAACCCTCATTACTGTTTTATTGTAGGGAATATTTCTTAAAC